CCTCTTCTGCTCTTTCAGATAGCTTGGGATGGATTTTTGATGAATTAGAATGGCAAGACAAAACCGACAGTTTCTTATATGAGGTACAACACGGGCACGGGACACGGCCGTGTTCGGACCTGTGTTGTCCCCAATTGTCACCCCCATTCTCATCGTCCTTTGACATTCCACGACTCTGCGCGTGACACGGCCACGTAACACGGGCATGTTCCAGGCCATGTTAAGCTTCACTTCCGGCTTCCTCCAAAACTACTCATTTGACTTATCACGATCTTAAAACGAACAGTTTAACGGAACACGGTCAAGCAACATGATCGTGTTCTAGCATGTTCCTCCTTCTTCATTGTTTTATTATTTCCAACCGTCCTCCAACTTCTCGGTCAGACCTTAATCAAACCTAAACCCAAACTCGAGGTGTTACAACATTAAAGAGAGGGCGTTACTTGGGAGGCAACCCATGGCTTGTCTAACTGAAACACACTAAAGAAATATATTTGCGAGAAATAACTCGTCTTCTATTTTTGGATCTACCAATAAAGTTGGTTGACCCTAGCTTTATGGGTTGCACCTAGTCCCACGAATCGTGGAATGCCATGAAAGTGTCGACACAACCTACTTACCCACGTAAAAGTGATCCTAAACCCTCATATTCTACAATCTGCATTTTAATTGAACGAGTGGTTGCAGCCCTTTTTGTGTGGCAACAGTCTTGTCACTAAACAACAACCCACCTGTCTTAAATGGTGTTGGGACAATATCTGGGGGGGGGGGGGGTATCATCTTAATGTTGGACCTTAATCCGAGGAAGAGTTTTGCGACTTTCATTCCACACTCTACCATCATATCCCCCATCTTTTACCATGATTACATGCCTAGTGTCATCCCTATGTCGATCATTGCTAAACCTTTGTTTGCTTACTTTACCGCCTACGTCAAAATTTCCACCCACACCACCCATTTCTTTTTGGGTATTATTTTTGTAAATAATTCACACTTCTTGAACCTTTATATATTTAGCTAGCCAAGGAGTTTCAATCCATTCCATAAATTTACAAGGTGTCATAATCATGTTTATTCTCAGAGGCAAAGAGTGTCCTAAAGAACCTAATTAATCAGTCACAAAATTGTCTTCCCGAATAACATGCTAAAAAATGGTAATACCTTAGAAAAATCCACATCGACAAAGTGCGTGAGAGATATATGATTTATAAGGAACATTCAACATTAACTGACAATGAAATTTTGGGGTGATTATTCAAAAAAAAAAAAATTTGGGGTGATATAGATGAAATCTTCTAAGAACTATGAATTTAACTTGCTTAGCATGAAGCAACACAAAGATGGGTGACCTTTTTGGGAGTCACCATGATGCGCCAAAAAAGAAAAACTATGTGGAGGTAGGCCTAACACGGAAATATCTTGGTCATAAAAGGATTGTGATGTTGCAAGTGGTATAAGAGGCTCTATGCATCCCTCTTGGGCGATGGTGAGCAAATCTCAACGAGGGTTTTAAGTCCCAATGGGGGGTATTCCCACATCGACAAAGCACGAGAGAGATATGATTCATAAGGAACATTCAACATAAAATAACAAGATGCGCTTGGCATGAAATGTAGTAGTTATTGTAAGAACTCAGAAGTTAAATGTGCTTAGCGTGGAGCAATGCATAGATGGGTGACCTCACTTGAAGTCACCATAATTCACCCAGGAGTAAAATTGTGCAGTGTTAGCCCCAAATAGGACAATATCTTGGTCATAAAAGGGTTATGATGTTACAAAAATAACATGACATTCAAAGTCTAGTAATCGTCTAAAGTAATCTTTTGTAAGAAGAACCTTCCTAGACTTGAGCTCCTAAGTAATCTTAAGTTTATGAACTATCTCAAGTAGCTCGTCATGGGTGATAAACCCCCTCCCCAAGGTTCACTACAAAAGCTCGAATAAAGTAGCCATTATCCTCATGATGCCACCAACCACTATGCTTGAAGGAGAGTGGAGGATGAATTTGTCAGTGTTCAAAGTATTTGAACCTAATTTTAGTGGTTTCAAGCGTATGAGTCTTCATTCACTAATCCCCATCTCCAAAAATGATCCTCTCCTTCTGAAAGGAATAGATAATATGGTGTCTTAGTTGTTTGGTGCGATACTAGATTTGTTCCCATGACTTAAGCTTACCTCGAACACGTGGCTATTCCAAATCTTCTGCATGAGTCAACATGTACTTGAAAAGAGTGTAATATTGACAATCAAATCTTGAAACCTAGTAAAGAGAATACCCTTGATTGAGTAGAAAAGTGCATATCCTTAATCCTCGAAAATGGTGATATGGGTCATCTTGAAGAAAAGCATCCTAGTTTCCCGCATAAAGGGGAAATCCTAGTTTACATGAAGTCTTGTTCCTCAATCTCCGTAGCAAACTAGACACTTAGGACTTATGGTAACGTGGTGCCATTGTCACTCCTTGTTGGCGAGCAATCCAGCTATGTAAGGCTCACCAAAAGAAGCCTCTAATATTTTGACTGGAATTTGCCAGATCAACCTCTATACTATATGAGAAAGCTCCATTTCTATATCGTGTATGTTAGCTCAAATGAAATTTTCAAAGAAAGCTAACCCATCATGGCCAACCGTCAATATGAATGTCCTCTCCACTTTTGCGGGTCACTAGATGTTGTAACTCATAAAAAAGTTTGGGGGTAAGAAAACAATGATATAATCAACATTCCCCTCACCATTAAGCACCAAATCCATCACAAAAATAGTTGAGGCTTCTTGGTGGAAGATTGATTGTGTGAGCCTAAAGAGGAAGGTCATCATGAAACTGCCAATCTTGCCAAAAGCCTCTATGATGTCCACTCCTCACTGTCTATAGAATATGCTGCCAAACTCTCACTATTTCTTTCCATAAGTTGGATAGAGTCCTAGTTGTTCTTGGTACCCAACCATCCACCATATTTCTAATATATTTGGCTATCAACACTCTACCACACAATGTCCTCGGGTAGGTTATCAGCCGCTACACTACTTTAAGTATATATACTTCTTTGATTTGGATAGTACATTGGAGTTCCAACCATCCTTCAATTGCAGAGGGGCTACACTACCTAATTACTACTAAATGTCCTCTGGTTGGTTATCAGCCGCTACACTACCTAATTACTCACTCGAGGTCGACTCTCCATCGTCAATTGTAGAGGGGCTTTTATAGAAGCTTATGTTGCACATCACGACCTCTGGCCGTGATTCGAGGGGTGGTCGCAGCCTCCACCCTGTGATACTTAACAAAATGGCGAGCAGAGGCACGTCATGGGCATGATGTGTAAACCTGTTATCGAATCGTTAAAAACTCTGTGTCTTTACTTTGTTCACGAGCATTATTAAGATCACGACCTTGATCTCGATATCACAACCATGATCTGGAAATTGCAGCCTGGATCTTTCTCGTGGTCGAAATCCCCCTTGGTCACGAATCAGAGCGTGAAACTTTTTGTCCATTTTCTGCGTCAGAGGGTGCATCATGGCCTAGAGTTGACGACCCTGTCGTGAAGCCGTGACCTGTATAATTTCTCTCTTCTTTGCTCCTATGTGAGGCAAATGTCCTTTGATGAACCCAAAATTGATCCCCAATCATTCGTAGAGTGTAAGGCCAGGAATACATCACAAACACCAAGCAAGCATAACGTACGACAAAGTATGGGTGATTTCTCCATGGAAACATTCATCGCAAATAATGATGATCATTGATATGAACGCATATTGAAATAAACTACCTTGCAATATGGCCTAGACATAGCAATTTAGCACACAAAAGTACTAAATTATAACTTTCTACCAAAAAAAAAAAAAAATTCTGCCTTTTAAGGGCCTTCGCCGAGAAGCCTACGACCTTATTCTTTCCATAGATGAGTAGCACACGAACATTATATTAAACTATCCAAATGTCACATAGGTGTCCTCTTTTTGCTCAGATCCCATACTGAGTTGAGGGACTCCTGCCATGTCCTCTTGGCAAGAAAGTTATAATTTAGTACTTGAACTTAACATGTTCAATAACTCGGTATCTAAATTTTACTATTTCTGCAAATAAGCCATCAAAAGGGTCTTGAAACTTATCTAAGACTCAACTCATACTACATTAGAAGAATTCATACTACAACATATAAGTCATCATTTACTTTTATTAATTGTCGGTAGACAACGAATAAGGTGATTATACTCCAATTTTCGTAACAAATACAAGATATAACTCATTGATGAAATCTTTGGAAGTAGGTAAAGAGATTGCAAAACGTATTGGGATTTTTTATACATGCATCAAATAAAGCAAACAATGTCTAACTGTACCTCCGAATATATCTTCGTTGCCATAGTAGATACAAGAGCAACGTAAATTTCCTGGATCCGGATAAGAAAAGATTATGTACCATTTCCTTAACTGACTTAAGGATGGGTTTTTTTTTTCCATTTTCGAGTGAGGTTGGTGAACTAATTGAGGTTAACACTTAGATAATGTGTCACCGACAAATGTCATACGTGTGGAAAATGCATCATCGACTCGATAAACCTTGCCACATCGACGATCGTCGTTGCCCTCTCGAACAGCAGATCATAAAGTCGTTGACCGTCCCCGACAATAGGACATACAACAATTGATAGTCATGGGCAACGATGGTTTAACTAGCCGCCTAAAATGACAATGTGTTAATGATGTGTCAACGTCATGTCGACGACGTGTTAAATATACATATGACCTTCACCAGTGATGCATATTTAGCACGTCATCGGCTATTTTGTAAGGGAAAAGGAAAATTACCTCATAACGGGTGCTTGTGAGGTCTTCTATAACAACCTTCTTTCTCCTTAATTTTGGGGTCTTCTTCCTTTATCCTCTTTCTCCAACGAGTTTCTTCATCTCCAGAGAAACTCTGACAAGGCTCGGGCCACAAGCGATATAAGAATATGGAGTGTGAAGGTTGCGAGTAGGAGGTGTGTTTTGTTTGAGAGGTTTTGAATTTTTAATATAAAATAGAAGGAATGACAAAAATCTAATTATCAATTTAGGACGGTGAATAACTCGTAGTTGAGTTACGAATAGTAATTCAGTTATATATAGAAGAATATTCAAATATTAAGAAAAAGTTAAACATTGGAGCTATAAAAAATGAAAACGGGAAAAAGAAAAACCACGTAGGACTTGCAATCCCTTGCACTTCATCGACAATTTGAAAAATGAAAATAAAAAAACATGCCCCGAATCCCGACCTCTAACGGCCAAAAGAGAATGGATCCATCGTCCACTGTCCTCTTCTAAACGGGAAACGATTCTCCCTCCCTCCCTCCATCCAGATTTGTAGATACATCTCAAAGCATTTGCTCCTGTGACCCCCCAGTTGGGCCAGCCCAGATTTTGCATCAATGGCGGAGATGCTGAGTAGCTAGGGATCTTACCACACTCAGAAGGGTGTCTTTCAGCCAAGAGAAGGATTCTCCCTCCCTCCCTCCATCCAGATTTGTAGATACATCTCAAAGCATTTGCTCCTGTGACCCCCCAGTTGGGCCAGCCCAGATTTTGCATCAATGGCGGAGATGCTGAGTAGCTAGGGATCTTACCACACTCAGAAGGGTGTCTTTCAGCCAAGAGAAGGACGTCCTCGTTTGGGTTTTGGCTAGATCGAAGAAGCAGGGAAAATAGTTGTCGAGGTTGGGGAAATGAAGGAGCTGTTAGGGAGTCCAGGGACGGTGAGCGGGTTGCTACTCAGAATAGGGCAATGTGCGTTCGCTGCTGCTTCTATTGGGGTTATGGTCTCTGCCAATGGCTTCTCTAGCTACACCGCTTTCTGGTACGATTTCACTTGCTGTCTTCACTTTGCAGCTAGCTTTTTATCTCTCAAAGAAATAAGAGCCTAAAATACCAATCAACGAAGCATTGCAGCATTTGATTATGTATGTGCCCTCCAGGAAGTTCATGCTGTTTGCCAAATGTGAAATCCTAAAATCGAGCGAGAAATTCCCCTGGGTCTTGTTTTACTAGGCTGTGTGAGCTTTTGTTCTTACATTTGTACTTCAGTACTCCAGTTTAAGGAACTTACAATCTGGGCTTAGGTTCATTGATTCAAATTTTGAGTGGAGGTTTGAACTATGCACTGCGTATATGAGATTCTTAGTAGTCTTGTTTTATAACTTACGAAGGTGTGTGATTTCCAATTTCCAAGTGGGTAGATAAGGTCTCAGTTTGGTTATTTTTCGACTGAATGCCATTCAAGCTCCTGCTGTCTTTGCATCTCTGGTTCGGCATTTGCACTCAAGTCTTTCTGCTGCTGTTATGCATTTTGGAAGTGAACAAGTAAACACTTGTTTGTGATGCTGATACTTGTTCTCTTGTTCAGCTATTTGATTGCATCAATGGGCCTTCAACTCCTATGGAGCTTTGGACTTGCATGTCTCGACATTTACGCGTTGAGGAGAAAGAAAGACCTTCAGAATCCTGTCCTTGTGAGCCTATTTGTCGTAGGGGATTGGGTACTTAACTCTCACCAACTCTCCTCTTTAGCTAGTCTTCCATTTCGGTCACTTCGTAACCATAGCAAGAAAAGCCTATCAAATTCCAGGATCTTCTGCACTACTGGTGATAGAAAGAAACTATGCTATTCAATGAACTTGTTCCACTAATGTTGCTTAGCAGGAGTAGTGCAAATTTTCTCAGCTTATACGTTTAGTATCATCTGCGTTATCAGTTGAAAACGTTGTATGCCTTTTTCCTTCCAATTGCGTCTGTTTTTGCAGCTGTGCATAACGATAGTGCTGGGATTCTGCAGGTAACAGCTATGTTGTCACTTGCTGCAGCGTGTTCATCAGCCGGCGTTGTAGTTCTGTACGCAAGGGACTTGGAGTTCTGCAAGGCCCAAGAGAATCTCCCATGTCGCAGATTCGAGATCTCCATAATCCTGGCTTTAGGAACCTGGCTTGTTATTGCTATTTCATCTCACGTTATGTTCTGGACCTTAGCCTCCGTGTAGACACTCAGCAAGCAACAGTTAAGTGTAAATTCGTCCGGATTTTGCTTTCTTTGTAACGAACATTGGTATGCTTTCTGTTTTGTTTGAGTGGTCACATCAATCAACGGGAAGTTTCTCAAGACTCGTCAACTCTCCTTTATTATTTGCCTTCAACAATGAACAACCAGATAATACGCTGGCCGGATCAGTTAGTCACTACAAGTACGGTTGAAGAATGTAACTACCAAAATAGAAGGAGGAGAAATGGAAACTGCGTTTCAAGTTGCATGACTATCTCTAGCTTTAGGATGCTATGCCAATGAGCTAGGCAGAATGACACCACCATTGCAGTAAACTTCATCACCAACATATATAACTTCACTCAAGGTTTTCAAATCGCGTTAAGTCGTTGAGCCGATCAAACAAGGGGTTTGAGATTTATTGGTCTGTTCGGGGTCCGACCGGTTTGAGCCGTTTTATACATTTTCTAAATATATATACAAATACGATAGTAATTAAAAATTAACGACTAAAATGAAATTTATTTTACATGTATCCATTAAAAACTTATTTTCCACAAAATAAAACATATCTAACCTCTAATCCTCCATGATTCACCTACTATCTTCCTTTCTTCTTTACCCCTACTCCCTCTTTAGTCTTTAGGGGTCAGACCAAAGAGCTTTCTGTAGGCCGTTTTGAAACCCGACTTAAGTAGGACCAGATCCGACTTTGGCGCTTTGTTCCTCAAGGAAGTGAGATAGAGTCGCAGCCCTGTTAAGAAATCTTTTGGTGTTGCCCAATGTACATCCAAAACCAGGGAAGGTAAGGATCATGGCAAATTGCTTCTGCTCACCTGCAATATTTGTAAAAACTCCATATATTCTCTAAAACTGAAGATAATTATTATGCAGGTGAAAAAGCTGCGGAGACAGTTTGGTACAAGTGGACTAGAATCCAGAACGCAAGGCTTTGTTAGTTATTTATGGAACTAATAAGGAAACCAAACAATCCTATTTTCTTTGGAAGTGAAAGTGCAAAAGCCCATTCAAATGTTTAATTGACAAGAGCCATTTTCGGCTTGTAATTAATTACACATCAAACACAAACAGTACAACGAGACGATGGTACAGTAAGTATTATGATTCTTGGACGACTGCAGCAGCACACAGAGGACGCAGGGCATGGGTTTCCAGTTCCCCCTTTCTGGGTTTTCTTTCCCTCCCACATGCCCCAACGAAAGAAGAAGAAGAAGAAGAAGCACGAGTACACCCTTTGGTTCCCCACGCGCTTACTCATCAACAGAGAGTCCACAAACAGAGACGTTGATGCTGTAAATGTACACACCACCCCTCCTAATATACATACATACTAATAATACACAGTTGCAGCTTTCATTCGAGGGATGATCGGTTTGTGTGAAGATGAATTCAGGCAGCCACGCGGCGACTTAAGCGGCAGAGGGGCGATTGCGCCCCGGTGGAAACGAGAATCTGACCGGCGGAATTGAGATTGGAAGAAGCAGTAGCAGAGGTAGTGCACTCGGATCCCAACAGGTGGAGACGATCCGACGCCTGAAACCGACCCGAATCGCCTGGGAGCCGAATATAGGACATCGACGAAGGGGAATCGGTGAACCAGGAGTTGAGAGCAGCTTCCCTTCCGCTTCTGTGCTGAGTTATTGCCCTGTACACGAAGGGAATCAGACCCTCCATCTTTTTCTCTTATGCGTTGGGTAGAAAGAAGAAAATTTTGCAGGAGAGAAAAGACAGACACTTGTTTTAGGCTTTGTTTGGGATTGGGAAATGATTGATTGAGGCAGTTGAGGGGAGGAAAAGGGTGTTGGGGGGTTTTAAAGGGAAGGGAAGGGGAATTGATGACGTGGAGTGAGGTGCTGAAGGTCCAGTTCCTCACGCCAAGCCAAATGCGAAATCGATTTCCACAAGCAATTATCAAATTTAGGGCTTTGAATAAGAAAGAAAAAGAAAGCTGTGCTATCCTCTTGGTTTTTTACTTTTTGTGGAACTGGTGATTGTAATTTTATTTATGGAAACCAATGGAGACTCTTTAGTTTTTTTTTTAGTTCGGGAAATCTCTCTCCTCTCCAAGAAGTACAAAATATTGTACTAAAAAACTGTATCTTCAATTATAAAAATTATAATTGACAAGATGCCCAGGATGTTTCACGGAAATGCTCCAAATGTTGTTGACAAATTGAGAGGATCGAATGTGAAAGATGCAAGGGGAGGACAAATTGTTGAAGAAATTGTTGGGTTACTAGTGAGGGGTTATAGTGATTACTATAAATTAGTAACCACCATGGTTATTAAGGACGAATTGGGTATGAGAAATAATATTTCTTAATTTCTTTTTTTAATAAACTAGACTTTAGGAAGTTACATAAATATATTAACTACTATTTATTCTCTCTCTTTCTCCCACTTCCATAATCTTCAGTAAGATCTCTCTTCCTTCTTTTTCTTGATTTCGTTCAGCCGAACTAATATCATTGCAACAACAAAACAATAAATCAATATCAACCTCTTTCAAGAGATGAGTTGTACTCAGCTCTACGCCAGAGGGGAAAGCGCAAGGCGCCAGGTGATGATGGTTTGTCGGTGTTATTTTTCTTGAGATATTGGCATATTGTAGGCGATGATGTTACGAATATGATCCTGCACATTTTCGAAACTGAGACACTTCCGCAGGGACTTAACCATACTCTGATTGCATTGATCCCGAAGATTAAGGACCCTACGATGGCAAAGGAGTTCCGCCCGATTAGTTTGTGCAATGTCTTATACAAGATTTTATCAAAGGCACTGGCGAACAGATTGAAGGAACTGCTGGGTGGGATTGTCTCATAGGAGCAAAGTGCTTTTGTTCCGGGAAGATTCATCGCTGATAATGTCATGGTTGCTTTTAAATGTTTCCATACAATGAAATAGAAAACAACAGCCAAAACGGGTATTTTGCAGCAAAAACGGATATGGCGAAAGCCTATGACAGGGTCGAGTGGTGGTCCCTCGAGGAGATAATACGGTGGCTGGGCTTTTCGGAGCGCTGGATCCGGATGATTATGTTATGTGTCCAATCAGTTACCTATGCAGTCCTGGTGAATGGGCACAAGTCAGATGTGATTGTTCCGAGCCAAGGACTGAGACAGGGGGATCCCCTGTCACCATACCTGTTTCTCTTGGTGGCGGAGGGTCTGTTGGCTTACACGAAGAAGGCGACAAAAGAGGGGCATATCCATTGTTTTTCAGTGGCAAGGAGAACCCCCGTGGTGACCCATCTGTTCTTCGCTGACGACTCTATCTTCTTTGCGAGGGCCACAACATAGGAAAGCGGATACCTCCGAAAGAGACTGACGGACTATGAAAAGGAATCAAGCCAGTTGGTGAGTTTTGAGAAGTCAGAAGTTAGCTTTGGCTCAAATGTAAAACCTAATCAGCGGTTACAAGTCAGCTCAATTTTGGGTATGAAGACGGTGGAGAAACATGATAAATATTTGGGACGGGTAACGGAGGTGGGTAGGTCGAAGAAATGAGTTATTTGTTTATTTGAAGGATCGTGTCCGTAAAAAGCTTGCGGGGTGGAAAGAAAGAGTTATGTCAATCGCAGCAAGGGAAGTTTTAATAAAGTCAGTTGCGCAGGCACAACTAACCTACACTATGTCAGTGTTTAAGGTACCCGATGGGATCATTAACGATATCCATGGGATGTTAACCAGGTACTGGTGGGGACAGAAGGGTGAGGAGAAGAAGATACCATGGGTGGCGCGAGACTCCTTGATATGTTCAAAAGCCAACGGGGGAATGGGTTTCCGAGATCTCCGGTTCTTTAATCAGGCACTCCTAGCGCGCCACGTGTGAAGTTTATACCAAAGTATCATAAGAACAACTCAGTGTTAGATGCAAGTGTTGGATACAAGCCGAGTTATGTCTGGCGTAGCCTTATGGGTGCGCAGGAATTCCTGGTCAGTGGAATGAGATGTTGGATTGGGAATGGCTCGTCTGTTCGGATTTGGGGAGATCGTTGGTTGCCTACGACCCCAAGGCATATAGATCAGTCGGTGCCTATGGGCTTGTGAGAGAGTTAATTGATGAAACCACTTATCAGTGGGATAATAGCCTCATTGAGAGTTGCTTCACTCGAGACATGGTAGTCGCGATACGTCAGATCCCCTTGCGGAATGTGAATGAGATGGACAAGATGATCTGGGCTTCGAGTAGAGATGGGAGGTATACGGCAAAGGAGGGTTATAAGATGTGGCTGGAGGATTTACGTGAAACGAGGGGCCTGCCGGTAGTGGGGATTCAGCTATGTGGAAGAAATTGTGGTCGATGAATGTACCTCCTAAGGTGCGAATCTTTATGTGGAGATTTGAAAGGGAAGCCCTAGCCACTGGAGCACGAGTAGCGGAGAAGAGCCAGAAACGGGGTGATGCATGTCCCTTCTACAACCTGAGGGAAACCCAAACACATCTCTTTTATGAATGTGCATGGGCGAGTCGATTGTGGAGGGCATCACATGTGGCGCCGCTGTTCGAGATTAAGGGGTCGTTAACGTGCCTTGCATGGGTTGAGTAACGATAGAATCACTGGAGACTGACCTCAAGGATTGGAGCATGCTGTTATGGATGGTATGGAAGGAGAGGAATGCACACTTATTTAATGGAGAGAAGATGGACGAGTCGGATATCATTTCCCGTGCTCAGTCTTTGCTCGACGAGTATAGGATGAGACAAACGCGTGAAGGTTTGGCCCCGTCTGCACCACCAGTGAGGATATGGAAAAGGCCGAATGTAGGGTATGTGAAGGTGAACACCGATGTGGGTATTGATCCAACGGAAGCAGGGCTTGGGGTTGCCGTACGTGATGATCAAGGTCGGTTTCTTATGGCGGCAGCAAAGCGGATTCAAAGTTTAAAGGAGCTGGAGTTAGGGGAGGCCTTAGCAGCTGAGTTCAGGATGATGCTTGTCTGTCAACACCGATTGGGAACCCCAGTCCTGGAAATGGACTGCTTGAACGTGGTGAAGGCCATTCGTGAGGCAGGCGAGGTGGAAACGGAATTGGGCATTATATGTCGGGAAGTAAAAAAGAGGCTCGATCTCACAGGAGGTATATTGACGCATGTATGTCGGGATGCGAATATGGCAGCTCATAGGATGGCACACTCAGAGACAAGATGGGATGAGTCGGAAGTGTGGTTCGATCGCCCGCCAGTATTTTTGGTTGATCAATTAAGTTTGGACAATGTAACAGCTTCGATTGATCAATAAAGCTTCGTGCAGGTTCCTATAAAAAAATCCATTAAAAATACTATCGTTGCCCAAAACACCAATATCATTCGTGAAATAAAAAAAACTACAATTTCACAACAAAAAAAAACAATACCATTGCAGATTTAGTCAATACCAATACATGCAAATTAATAACATTACATGATAATCAATACTAATGCGACAAAATAAATAATCAATGCGGCAAAAACGATACCATTGTGACAAAAATAATAATATTAAGGCGAGAAGGTCGGAGATAGAGGGAGGGGGAGGGATGGCCAATGTCGTCGATTGCTTTGAGGACCTTCGCGGTTCGACTGGATCCCAGATGACCTCCACGATCTCGTACTCGCCCAGGTCGCTTGTTCATCGGTGGATTCTGGACTGCAGGTCGCTTTTCCATCCAACCATGGGGAAGGGTTGTGGGATTGTGGGGAATCTGGATGCTTCTGCCCATTGCTATTTCTATGCTTTTACAAGGGCCTCAACTAGCTTCTGGACGCAGGCCCCTTTTCTCCGTCACTTTTCAGAACTTCGGCGGGGAGCTTGTCCATCGAGCACAGCCAGGGACTGTCGGTGGGAGGGTTAGAAAGAGGGAGGGGCAGGGATGGCCGGCGCAGGCGAGCGGAATTCATCATCGTTGGCGAGGAATCAGAGCATGAGGAGGGTTGGGCTAGAGGGAGAGAGGTTATTTGATAGACCAATAATTACACATGTTTTTACCCCTATTCTTGAGCCGTTTGGGATGTTGATTCTCGTGTTTTAAGCCGATTTCACGCTAGGTTGTTCGTTTATGTCATATTTCAAGACTTAACGTTGGCATCGAGGCGAAGAAACGAGTTTCGGGTCGAAAGAGGCACGTTTGGGTCGAAGTGTTCTGGAGGAGCAAAATACCCGGCCAGGTATTATTTGGAGCAGACCGGGGAAAAGGATTTTTGGGCGTCTGAGAAGCAGAGGGGGGCCCGGTCGTGACACTAAAATCCCCGGTCCCTGTCTCCAAATGCTGCGTTTTGAAAATGTCCGGTCGCCACCCAAAATACCCGACCGGGTATTCAGGCCGGGGATCGCGGCAGACAGCTTCTTAGGGGAAAAGAAGAGCAAAAGAGAGGGGTTGCGAGTTTTAGAGAGAAAGAGCGATACCTTGAGAGAGAAAGCGACAAAACTGATCCTGCAAGTGTCATACATCGATCTCCATCACCATTGGAGCCCGACTTGAGCTTGGAGAAGACCTGATTGAGTGCCAGAAGCAGATTCCCATCCTTCACAGTATGGTTTCCGCATCTAAGCTAGATTTTCCATCTCTCTCTATGGAGTAACTTTCTTATTCACCTGGGTATGAAGAACCCTAGATTTGTATGTTAGGTCTAATTGTATGAACCCAAGTACAGATTCAGTGATATGATTATGTTCAATTGAGGTTTGATTTATTGAATGGCATGAATCCTGATCAAATTTCTATTGTTCCTGATCAAATTCCTATTGTTTCTGCTTTATAGAATGGCATGAATCCTGATCAAATTCCTATTGAATGTGGATCATCTCTTGGTAAAGATGCGCTTGTGGGGAGGCAACCCCACCACAGTTTTTATTTCTTTTTCCCTTTTTCCGTGTTTTTGTGTCGTGTTGAGTCAGTTGCATGTCTGTATTGAAGTTCGGTCGTCTGTTATGCCTCGGTTTGGTGTTTTTGTGCAGGGGAGGTCAAAAATTTGGGAGATTGAGTTTTTTGGCCGGAAGGGGAAAATAACCGGTCATGAGCCAAAATACCCGACCGAGTATTTTTGGCCCATGACCGGGACCCCTTCTGCCTTCTGGGGCGAAAAAGGGCAAATTCCTGACCTTGACCCAAAAATACCCGACCGGGTATTTTTGGCTCAAGGCTGGGGATTTCCCAGTCTTGGAACAATGCGTTTCAGGATCCCCGACCTTGACCAAAAAATACCCGACCGGGTATTTTTGGCTCAAGGACGGGGGTTTCCACCACATGAAACGCGACGTTTTCCAAAACCCCCGGTCGTGGATTCAAAATACCCGACCGGGTATTTTTGAGCCCTGACCGGAGATTTTTGCTATTTAAGCAAACCCCCGGTCATTTTCTCTCTCTACCCTCATTTTTTCCAAAATTTCCTTCTCCTCCTCTAAAAAACCTCTGCCCTCTCTCATCCCGTGGTCGCCGCCGACCGTCGTCGCCGTCGGCCATCCACCGTCGCCACCACCCCGTCGCCGGTCTCTTTCTGGCGACTTTCCGGCCATTTTTTGGTGAGCCTTCCGGGTCATTTTTTGCTCCTTTTCGCGTCCCTCGCCCGTTTTTTTCGCCCTAGCTTTAGTTCTACTTGAGTTTCCAGGTGTGTTTCTTGTTAACTGCTATTTTTCCTAGAAAATCAAACTGTAGATTGTAGGACCGAGAACTGTGTTTGCCTGGTATGATTGAACTAGGATAGGGTGAGGGATGCCTTGAGTATGAATGGTTACGTCTTTGGTGTGTGTGCTGCCCGTGGATTGATTTGGTCGGTTTGCTTGATTCTTGCCGTGACTACGGTTGAGTTGCTTGCGATTCAACCGTTTATGCTTAAACTGTTAGCCTAGGTGGTCCTTAAGTGTGGGGGAAGTGATGAACCCATACTGTTGGTCCTGACGAGTTTTGCTTGGCTCCACCTTTGCTTTGTTGATTTTGCAGGAACATGTCACTCGACAATCCGTTCGTGCAGGACCTGCGCCTGCACCCGGACTACGCGGACCAGTTCCGCCAGGTCACCCGCGGGAGACTGGAGCGCCACCGCCATCCGGAGTGGGGCGTATTCGAGCAGCTCCACTGCATACAGGAGCTCTCCACCACCATCAGCCACCGGGATTGGTGGACACTGCTGACGATCGAGGAGCCCACCTACACCGAGCTGGTGTGGGAGTTCTACACCACTTTCAAGTACCGCTCCAAGGCGGTCCAGGACTCCTACGCAGTTACTTTCAGGTTGGGTGGCCACCCACGGGAGCTGACCATTGACGCGTTGGCCTACGCCACGGGGATCGAGTACCACCCCTACTCCCGCCACGAGGTCGAGGTCCCGAACCCGACAGAATGGAACTAGGACGAGTTCTACCGCCACATAGCCAGGCGCGCCTATGGGTACGACTACTTCGACACTGGCCAGACATCTGTCCGCACCCTCAAGCCGCAGTGGCATATCCTGAATCTGTTGATCACCCGATCCATCGTCCCCAACGTCACCGGCTCGCACAAGATCCAGAAGCGGGTGCTCTATGCCATGTACTCGATGGGCGACCCGGAGCATATGCTGCACTTGGGTTCTTTCGTGGTTACCACTTTCTCCCGATGCCACGGGAAACCCAACCATCTCTATTGTGGTCCCCTGATCACCCGTCTGCGCCACTTTGACATCAGCTTCGAGGGACCCACTGATTCTTCTGTACGGGACGGCTCCGCCCCCCTCAGCTGGGAGGTGCTCCACAATGCACTCCTCCTGACCACTGACGGCACCCGCTCCTGGGTGGATGGGCTCTCCATGCCCCCTAAGGAGGATGAGGATCTCGATGAGGACGAGGAGGACGATGACTACTCCGGCGAGGAGGATGATGATGATGATGATGATGATGGCGGGGCCATGGATGCTGATGAGCCAGAGCCCCTGCTCTCTCCACCAGGGGACCTTCAGCCACGACGGAGATCAGAGCGAGGCGAGTCCTCCTCCGATCCTTCTGGTCCGTCGATGGCTTCTAGACCGTCGATGGACTTCTTCACGGAGCAGTTCCAGCAGATGGGGCTCCAGTTCTAGCAGCTCGGACTTCAGAACCAGCAGCTCATGGACCATCAGGTCCAGTTTTACCAGCAGTATTAGGCCCACCAGGCCGAGTACCAGTCCAGGCTGACGGTCGTAGATGAGCGCCTCGACCGGATGAAGGCCCAGATGGGAGTCACTGGTGCTCTCATCGAGCGAGAGCGGGATCGTGGCCGCCGGTTGATGGAGTACTCGGAGCACCTGCTCCAGTCTTGTCACCCACCAGAGGAGCACCACTGGACCACCCGGTGGGATCACTCGCCACCACCCCCACCACCACCACTAGAGGGGGTCGACAATCTCATGGACCAGATTGACTTCTCCGGGCTCGAGTAGGCTGTACTCGTGGCCCCGTTTTGTGTTGTTTTCATTTCTGTCAGAGTGCAAACTGTCTTGTGTGTTGGATTTTTATCTTTTCTTTCTTTTTATTTTAGATGATGTACTATTGGGCTGACCATTGGATCTAACGTATTGTGTTTGAGTTCTTCTGTTCCCTTTAGCTGTGATTTGTCCCTGACTGGTCCCCTCTCCAGTCCGCTTCACTCAGACTGGTCCGCTTCCAATCTCATGCAGTCCATGCACACCGGTAACATCGTTCTCCTTATCCTTCCCTCTTCTCCATTGAGGGCAATGTCGAACTTAAGTGGGGGGGTGTTTCTTTTTTGACTGCATTAGATATGTTTGTGTGCTTGGAGCCTAGTCCACTGTCCAAATTTTTAAATTTGAGGGCTCCAAGTACGTGTTTCCTTGCAAATTGCCTGCTTAGTATGCTTTGAATTGACAGTCTCTATAGTAATGTGGAACCCCCGCCAAGTGAATGAAAAAAAGAACAAAAAAGTAAAATGAAAGTAAAAAGGGGTTTTCAACAGTGAAATGAAGTGAAAGAGCACCCCGGTACAACAAGTCCTTGGTTGTTAATGATATGAGTCCCTTTATCCATGAACTGACTGTCTTACTTCTACTTCTTCTCATGATCCTGGCTTGAGTCTAGCACTCGCATTGAGAGAGATAGGGAACATCTTAGAAGACCAGTTGACCTCGTAAGCTGCTATATGATCTAGGAAATCCTCTACCGACGATCGGGGTTGTTTGTTGCTATAGAGGTTTGGAGAGTTGCATGGGTTTGAGTTAGGTTTGCTTAGGGACAAGCAAACGGTTAAGTGTGGGGGAGTTTGATAAACCAATAATTACACATGTATTTACCCCTATTCTTGAGCCGTTTGAGATGTTGATTCTCGTGTTTTAAGCCAATTTCACGCTAGGTTGTGCGTTTATGTCATATTTCAGGACTTAGCATTGGCATCGAGGCGAAGAAATGAGTTTCGGGTCGAAAGAGGCACGTTTGGGTCGAAGTATGCTGGAGGAGAAAAATACTCGGCCATGAGCAAAAATACCCGGTCGGGTATTATTTGGAGCAGACCGGGGCAAAGGATTTTTGGGCGTCTGGGAAGCAGAGGGGGGCCCGGTCATGACACTAAAATCCCCGGTCGGGGATTCTTGGTCTTGACCGGGGATTTTCCCCTGTCTCCAGACGCTGCGTTTTGAAAATGCCCGGTGGCCACCCAAAATACCCAACCGGGTATTCAGGCCGGGGATCACAACAGACAGCTTCTTAAGGGAAAAGAAGGGCAAAAAGAGAGGGGTTCCGAGTTTTAGAGAGAAAGAGCGATACCTAGAGAGAGAAAGCGACGAAACTGATCCTGCAAGTGTCATAGATCGATCTCCATCACCATTGGATCCCGGCTTAAGCTTGGAGAAGACTTGATTGTGTGCCAGAAGCAGATTCCCATCCTTCATA